CTTCCCTCACCTTCTTCATCTGTTTTCAACATTGAGAAAAAATATTTCCTGGAAGCAAACTGAAAGAATTGTGCTAGAAATTTTTTTAATACAACTTTCTGTATTTCGGTCAACTTGCTTTATTCTCTGGATCATATTGAAGAAAGATATACAGTTGTTATGGAATTTATTCCTTTTAATTTCAAACTAATTGCACATATTTCAATTATTAATTTTATAAGGCTGTGCTATAAGGCTTTCACTGATCACGAGAATGAAATTACAATGCTCCAATTGTGAACCTAAACTTAATCAAACTTGTTTCCTCAAAAAACAATAACAATTTAGAGAAGAAAATATTTTGTCATTATTTATCATGTCAAACTTAAACTTTCAAATTGTGTGCAATACCATGATTCCAAATCCAACATGGCATACAGTGCAAAAGTATGTTATCTTACATAAAGATAAGTTTTCTACATAAACCAAAATCTAAAAATGTCATTTAAAAATTCATTATATATCTTGGAATTCATTTTTACACCAATTGGTACACTTCCAACTCCAGCCAACTCCTTTCTCACAGTTCCAACCTAAAACATAATGTCCCTGCTGACTTGCAGATGTCACACAAGACACGCTGCTCTTTCTTTGCAATGTAGCTTACATTTTAGCCATCCAATCCCTCAAAGAGAAACTTAGTAGTCTCATAAAAAGAATAAAGTTGAAGTTTGTTTTCAAATGCTTTCTAGCCCATTCCAGACATTTTATCTTGTGCCTGGGCTTCAAAGGCAACTAAATATCAGGTTTGGCACATTTTACAACATGATTGAGAATTTGACAATGATGAACTTTGCCACATGACTTTGCTCTATATCCTAGAATGTAGTTTTGCTACTTGGGATAATTTTAACATTAAATTTAATTAGAGATGTTCCCCAATGTGTTATTACTTAGTATTTGCCTTGACCTGATCTTGTACATGATGCCATGGAGTCTCAGCATATTCCTTCACTGTTTAAATTCTTTTTAGTCTTTGATAAGCCACTTTTACAACCTGTAATTTAATAATTCTGCAATGGTCACCTAATAATTTGACACTCTAAAAATGCAAGGTGATAGCAAAAAAAATGAATTCCTTATCTTTACAAGAGCACAAAATATCTTTATTTTTACTACATTGGTTCAGATTAGCGAGGCCAACGTATATTAAATTTTTCCATAAAACTAAATTCACAATTTAACCATTAATTCTGCATAACCTTGTAACTGTCATATCTCAATTTTTACAAAATTAGCCTATTTTTGTCTGCCAAGAAAATAAGCAATGTTTTTGAGAAGGGCTGAATTACAACTGAAATACAAAAATAAAAATTCTTCATGGAATTTACAAAGAATGTACTGTGAATGATCACGTATGTAAAGTTTCATGATGGAGATCTTGTGATGAACGATACTCCACAGTCAAGTGGACCAATTGAGGTTTGTAAAGGTCAAGACATAGGAATAATCATGACACAAGAGATAGTCAGCCTACTCTGAATATTCAACTTCCGTGTGTGTGAGAGAGAGAGAGAGAGAGAGAGAGAGAAAGGTTTTTTGAAACAAATTAGTATAAGTGATGAAACAATATGGGACACTAGATAATTTTTTTTTTTTTTTTTTTTTTTTAGATGGAATGAGCTGTATTATAGGTCAGTTTTTATCCATGTAAATTGATGCTATGTATATGGTTGGATTGGAAGACTGTAAAAGACACCTAGAACAGAAGAGGGAATTACAAAGTCGTCTGAAGAGTTACAGAATATAGAAAGACAGTTATGTCCATATAGTTAATTTTTTATTTTATTTTCAACATTATCTTTAGTTAAAATTAACAAATGATTTTATTAATAGACTATATCAAGTTTTTAATTTCTGCAATTAGGAAAGATAACAAAATTGAGTTTATCTAATTTTTGTGTCTACTAAATCAGTGTTTTTTTTTTTGTTTTTTTTTTTTTTTTTTTCTTTCTTTCTTTCTTTCTTTTTCTCTCTCCCCTCCCCAATCATTTGGTGAAAAAAAAAAAAAAAAAAAAAAGCTAATATTTTTTACTAATAAATAAATTCAGGAATTGTATTATAGTGATGTATAGGCTTTATTTTGAAGTAAAACTAATTTAATGAAAATGAACTTGTATTTAACAACTAAATTCTATAGAACATTTATGTACACTAGTAAAATAACTCATAACAAACCATTTTAAAATGGACCTCTGTGGGCCCCACTAATGTTATGTGGAGGTGGGGCATGTGGACCTTGGTTAGGGACCTCAGATCTAAATGATTCACTTAGCAGTATTTACTATTCTGCATTCTTAATTTCCGTTTTATGTATAAACTAATAGATTAATTTATATTGATCTATCACATTCTATCTCTATTCAAAGCAAACAAATAATTTTGTTAATTGTTTGTAATTGTTCGCATATTAAAGTAATCTTAATAAATAATAATTCCAAACACTAATAATTAATAAAATTGTCATTATTTTTATTGAATAGATAAAAATAAAATATTACAAACACTAAAAGAATAATACTTTTGGGCATAAAAAAACGGCAAACCCTGATATTACCACTTACAATGAGTAGATACTGGCATTTTTAACAATGGTGTTGATACAATTGAGGTAATAATAAAATTGAAATTGCCCTGAAAAACTACTTGTGAATAGTCAGTGAATTTATAATACACACACACACACACACATATGATAGAAGCAAAATGAATGGCACAGGAGGGAAATATTTTAATAACTTTTAATTGAATGATACACAATGACTTTTTTTTCCTTTTTCTTTTTGCTGGTTGTTTGCTAATGGCTGACCAATGTTTGACTGGCTTATTATTGTTTTTAACTGTCAGCATTTCTTGCTGCTTTTTGACCTTTGCAATCTCCTGTTCGCTTTATACTGTGACTTAAGTGCAACAACATCCGGCACACACAATGAACTAGACCTATCATCAATCAACAATTTGGGCAAAACAATTAAATAATATCTTAGTTATTCATCTTCTTTTTCAATTAAGAGATGAAAAAAAAAACAGCTCATCTGATTCATCTGCAAATACTCGAGAATTTCACATCTTGTCTATAAGGTTTCAATAAGACACACACACACACACACACACACACACACACACAATATAAGTTGTGTGTGTGTTTTTAATGCAAATCTCCAATTTCTATGATATCAAAAATGTTATTCTTAGCTAATTTTTTCACTTTGTTAGTTCATTTATATCAAAATTTATGCTTTATGTCAGTAGCATATGGCAATAAGTTTGGATGCTATGATAAGTTGATTTGACTGCTGTTTTAAATTTAATTTTTTTTGAAGGATTTTATAAGTCTGAATTCTATACTACCTTTTGTCAAAAGGCTTTTTCCTTTTTGTAGTGTATTAAGTTCATATCAAATTTGTTTTTAGTTGTTCAGTATTATTTTTTTGTGATTTTCAGCAGACAACAGTTGAATAGAGTATAATATGGCTTTTAAAGTTGTTTTAATTACTTGCTTTTTATATATAATTATACTGTTTAAAATTTGCTATATTTATAAAGGGAGAAAGAGTATGTAATTTTACACATGCATGCACTTAACATAAGTTATTGTCATTGGAAATGTAATCCATGAACCTAGTTCAAATTCTGGCAGTTTTTATTCAATTTGCACTCATGCCCTTCAGAAAGACCTGAGCCTCTTCTCTTCCCACTCATATTAAATACTAGAGTGTATACTGAGTTCTCTGTCCCTTTTACTTTCAATTAAAGCCAACAGGGTTAGAGGGACATAACAAGCTTGTATAAATGAGTGTTAGAACAGAGACTAAGAAGGATAGTAAGAAGATAAAAATGAATTAGTTATAAAAAATAAGAGGTTATGGAGAGCCATGATCACCCATGTCCTGAAGAGATACTACACACAAAAGAAGACTGGGCCTGAGCTTTATGTAGCAGCCAATTTAGGAAGGAAAGTGAATTCAAAACTGGTTTGGTGTACATGTACTGGAAGCATGACAAGCCAATTCTTTCATCAAATCTTGGTCTGGTTCATTCGTTTCAACTGATCCCACACCTTGCTTCTGGATCCTGGAGCAGATGTCAAGAGGATGGGTTTGGACTGATGCAACCTTTTTAAATAGAAAGGAAAAATTCCACCCACATACATTCTGTTGTTTAAAGAAACTATCAGCATCCTTTGGGAAAGAGATTTAATTTCTCATCATAAAATCAGGAATATTTTAAATTATATCTTAAACCTTAATACACATCTACAAAAAGCTCAAAATATCTTGATTGCTTCTTGTTATCTGAAACAACTTACATAAATCATTTTAGCAGCATTTATTTTAATGCCTGTTGTGTTTATCAACTATACATTCATGCCTACATTTAGTTTCAAATTTTGTTAATTTGATAGCATTATTTGATTTTTTTATATGTAGGTATTATTCTTATTTGTAACAAATCCTAGTTTCAGTAATCTCTTTATATTCAAAATAGTTAGTATTTTTTTTTAATCATTGGAAAGACCAATTTCTTAAATTAGTGAGGCAATTTTAGCTAGGATTGAGTAATTTATAGAGTTTTTCTATTTAATCAATATACATTCCACAGTTGCATGAGTGCTTCTTTCATTTTAGTGACAGTTATTTGTGGACTTTGAAATGGTTGAATATTTAACCAACTTTGGCAATTCTTCAGTGTGGTTCTAAAAGTGTTGACATTACAAAAATTATGCATTTTTAATTTAAATTTTTATCTTTAACTTTTTTTTTTTTTTTTTTTACAAAAAATACACTTATGTCCTTTTGGCATCACACTGAATTGTGTTCATTAAAATATTAAAAAATCTGAATCTTCTCAGTTTTATGATGTATTATTTTTTATTTCCTTTTCTCTTTGGTTTTTTGATTTAACATCACCTAAATTTGTAAATGTAAAATGTAATTTTTTTATTTTTTTTCTTCTCTCAGTCAAGAATCCCATTTTGTGTCCTTTATCAAAATGACTCGGTGCCTAAAATTCACTGGCAAGCTTAGCCAGTCTGATCCCCAGACCTCTCCTGTCCGAATTATAGGCCAGTTGAGAAATCTCAACAAAATCTCATATGATGATGTTAAAATGAAACTGGAGCCAGTTGTTACAGCCGAGGTAAGTACCATTGGTTTGTTTTTCTTTTCTTCTTTTTTTTTTTCTTTTTTTTTAAAGTTTAATGTAGTGGAAATGGTAGGCATATCTGTATCAGAACATGTGAAAACCAAGGACTTACGAGTCAGCTTCAAAATAGACACCAAGTAGGTTGTGTACAATTTGGCAACTGCAATTATGGAAAACTCTTGAGGAAATGTCACTTTTATTTATAGTGTCCTTTTAGAGAGGGAAGAGCTATCTCAGTGGATCTGTATGACTGAGGCAATGCAAAATGAGTCTGGCAGCTGGAAGGACAGCTATCAGCATGTTTTCTTTTTTTTTTTTTTTTTTTTTTTATCATTGGGGGAAAAATATTTGTTCTTTGACATCAGTTCTAATTTTGGATAAATCATTGATAACATATACTGGTAGGGAACTGATTTTTCCTGACTCTCTTTTCTGATAGTAATTGTAGCATGACTGATAAAAGGACAATGTACAATGAGTATTTAATTCATATCATTTCAAAGTGTGTTAGTTTATGACATCAACTGCTACCAATTCCAGTTTACTAGAGATGGGCGGTTTAACCAAAAAACTTACTTTTTTTCAGTTTCATCTTCACACTGTGAAACCGCATCAAAATTTTTATAGAACCGAAAACGTTTGGGTTTTTTAAGTACTATCACTACTGAGTGACCATATCCAAAAAAAGCACTATTTAAAAAGACTTTCAGATGTTAATAAGATTAACCACTTTATACCATTGTAAGAGAAAAAGATTGAATAAAAAATATGTTAAAAACATTTAATTGACTAGTTTTAGGAAATAAATATGAAATCTATTTGTTTACAAAAGAAATGAAGGAAATACGACATGACGTCTGAAATCTATTTGTTTTGGTTTTGAGAAAAAAAAACTTTTTGCAGTAAAATTAACAGCAAAATAATGAGTAAAAATTTAAAAAATAGTTGCCAGTTTCGTCTTAATGTTAAATTTTATGAAGTCAGATTTTTTGTAGTAAGGGTAATTGTTTTCTAGTAAAGCCAGTGTTATGCCAATCACAATCACCTGAGATGAGGTATTATGTACAGTATTTACATTAGTCGGACTATTGTCCCTCATCTTTGTCGCCATATTTGTGCGCCCGGCCTTCTTCAGGTGGTTGGAATTTCGAACTGAACCCTTTATTTCTAAGTTTCAAGTTCTAATTCCAAAAGTGTTTTGATGGATGTCAGTTATCAGTTATCTCTTTCTCCACTGCCTTAACCAGGAATTGAACTCACCTTCTTTGGGTCTGTCACTTTTTATCCACTGTGCCATGTGTCCTTGAGGATGAACTTCTGAGTATTATAAACCTAATGTTTTCAGATATTTTTTCATATTGCAATTTTTGCTGTTATCATTGCATGTCTTTACCAGAGTTCATCAACTTTGTTATCATTGCTTTTTCTCTGGCACTCCTTTTTCCCATATTGTATTTATTTCTATGCTTGGTCGGCTCAGGAGATTTTTGTGGCCTAGCATATGTGCTGATTCCTTAAGTTTTTTTCCAATGGTGTTCCCTGTCTATGATCTGAACATGATCCCACAGGGGCGGTGATCTCCCTTCTCTCTCCATATGTGGTCAGCCACGCCTGATTTTTCTACTTCCCTCCGTTACAGCTTTCTGGTGTTCTTGAAGCCTTACCTTGAGGGGGCGGCCTGTCTCTCCTTTATATTCCTTTCTGGGATAATATACACAGTCTTTAGTCATGTTCCTCTTGGGGGTCTCACTTCGTGAGAGATATCTGCAAAGGTTGTCCTGATGTTATATGGACCGCTTGGATCCTTTGTATTTTCTCTGACAACCCCTTCACATAAGGCAGGCAGACTGTTTTCTGAGTGTTGTTGTCCTCCTCCTCCTCCTCCTCTTGTACCCGCCTATCCCAGTTTTTGGGGGCTGCTGCCATGTGTACCGGGGTAGTTGTTGCGTTGTAGGGTAATACTTATACTGACCAATTCCTTATCTAACGTTTTTGACTTTTGCTTTTTGCTCGGTGTTGTAAGCATCGACGATCCCTTTCTTTTCAGTTGAAATTTAGGTACTGTCCGGTGAATGTTGGTTTTAAAGGACAAAACCCATTCTCTGTTAGAGATATTAGTACATCCAGGAATGGGAAAGTTGTTACTCTCTTTCTCCATTGTGAACTGTATCGAAGGTCTTGGAGTTCACATGGTCCAGAAGAACCTGGACTTCTTCCTGATGTGGCCAGTTTCATCTCAATAGTTGGCTTTAGCGATATAGACTCTTGCCATTTCTTCAAAGTATTCCATGTATATATTCGCCATTGCTGGTGATAATGGCGACCCTCATCCTGTAGATCCCATTCCAGTGTGTTGTTTGTGTACAGAAAGTCAACATCTCCATCAGATTATCTATTTTTCTAGGGAAGAGTCAGAGGTTAATCTATCTCTGACTGTGCCTCCTCCGTGGGTACCTTGGTGAAAAGACTCACCACGTCCAAGCTCACCATCTGGTTGGATAGGATGGGAGCATCTTTGAATTTCCAAAGTGGGGCGGAGTTTCGGACATATTTTCCGATCAATGGGTCAATTATATCTACAAGGAAGAAAAAAGAGGGTGGCACACAGAAACTGACAATCGGCCTGAGTGGAATACCGTCCTTTGTGAATCTTTTGAAATCTTAGACCGTATATGTGAGGTGTACTTGCTGTAACGCTTTCGATAACTGCCTATACGTCTTGGGTGCGAAGTGATCCTTGTTCTTGATTAGGATCTGTGACAGTTTATTCCGTTTTCATAGTAGGATCTTTCTTCACTATTGTTAATAGTCCGATTTGTCCATCACTTGATTACCTTTGTCAGCCGGTAATGATGATGTTCTCATTCCTCTGTAATTCAATTCTCTCCAGTTTTGTTTAAGGCCTGTCTCACTTTCCAATTTCATCCGCCTGAGCCTGAATGTTCAAAGGCCACCTCCTCTACTCTGGCAATGATGTCCAGGTATGGCACCGCCTGATGGTTGTGTGGCGAAGTTGAGACCCTTATTCAATACTGACTCTTCAGAGGCACTCAGCTGATATTGGCTGATGTTGACTGTCAACAACTACCCAGGGTATGGGATAGGCGGGTTGGAAGAGGAGGAGGAGGAGGAGGACAACAACACTCAGAAAAACAATCTTGCCTTATGTGAAGGGGTTGTCAGAGAAAATAAAAGGATCTTCCATATAACATCAGGACAACCTTCAAAAGCGTGACAACAATTTGGATATCTCTCAAAAAAGACTGTGTTTCCCATGCAAAAGGAATATAAAGGAGAGACAGGCCGCCCCCCCTACCAGAAAGCTGTAACGAGGGGAAGTAGAAAAAAATCAGGCGTGGCTGACCACATATGGAGAGAGAAGGAGATCACCGCCCCTGTGGGATCATGTTCAGATCATAGACAAAACACCATTGGAAAATTAATCAGCACATATATGCTGGAATCCTGAGCCGACCAAGCATAGAAATAAATAAAACCAGTAATAAGGAGTGCCAGAGAAAAGCAATGATAACAAAGTTGCAATATGAACTCTGGTAAAGACATGCAATGATAACAACAAAAATTGCAATATGAGCACTGGTAAAAATGATGCTGAAAACATTAGGTTTATAATACTCAGAAGTTCATACCCAGAAGGATACATGGCACAGTGGATAAAATTGGTTAGATCCAGTGACAGACCCAAAGAAGGTTTCAATTCCTTTAAGGCAGTGGAGAACTTTCAGAGGGAAAATTAGCAGGAGATAACTGATAACTTCCATCAAAACATGGCACGTGAATTAGAACAGTTACCCCAGTGATCGAAAATAAAGGGTTCAGTTCGAAATTCCAACCACCTGAAGAAGGCCGGAGCGTACAACGGCCGAAACGTTGTGACAAATATGGCGACAAAGATGAGGACAATAGTCCGACTAATGTAAATACTGTAGCTAAAATAGTTTTTAATTTCACTTTTAAAATGTGTTTATTTCCAGATATGCAAGTCTCTAGTGTAAAATTGTTTGTTTTCTACAAATAAAATTGTTTCTATTTAGTGAATACACCTAAAATTAGATATTAAAAAAAAATAAAATGTTTTAATCTCAGTTTTAAAATGTGTGTATTTTCAAAACTGCAAGTCATTTTTTTTTTTTTTTTTTTTTTTTTAACCCAAAGTAAAAATTATTCTTTGCTTATACATTAGTGTTCAATGGGTGTTACTGTTCTGCCTATAAAATTCTTCTAAACAAGGTAAATTAATTCATTTTGTTTTTAAATATCTTTATGCTTTTATTTTATCTTGTGAATACACTTAAAATTATAAAAATAGTTTTAATTTGTTTTAAAATGTGTATCTAAAAAAGAACAGTTGATACTTGCAGATTTGGAAATATACACTTTCAAAAAATGAAATTAAAAGCTTTTAATTATTTTTAATATCTAATTTTAGGTGTATTCATTGGATAAAAACAAATTTATTTAGGGGAAAAAATAACTCCTTGATTTTTCCTTGTTTAAAAAAATTTATTTGCAAAAGCCTAATAACAGTTGACTGACGTACCAGAAAAGAATTGCTATATTTCTGGGTGTAGCTTAAGGTGTCTTCTAATTGAGTGTACAATTTCAAGAATATTGATAAAGATTGGTCACATTGATTTTGCAAAACAAAGTAATGTGTAAAATTTAGTCTAAAAAAAAAGTCATATTTTGCATTTTCAGCTGTTCAAAACAAAATGCTGTTTTAACTCGCTGTAAAAAATAAATAAATAACTCAATGGATAAAGGCACATACAAATTACATATTTAGAAATATTATTTTATTTTCTTTCCAGCCATATGAATATTTTTAACTAAGATTGGATCAAAAATACACGAGAATTTGCGAGTTGAACAGAGTTGCAAATTTATCAATCTCAAATAAAATCAGATATTGACTGGAAATGCTATCATTACACAAGAAAGTGAATGGCTTCCTTAGAAAGCAAAAATACTAAATTAAAAACTGAATCAAAAACTGTGGTATCAAAGGGAAAAAAATTGAAAACCAATACTGAACTAACTTGCTAAACTAACCAACTCTATAATTTACCATTAACTGCTTTTGATTAAGCAGGTATTTTATATATTACAAAGTACCTGGTTTATAATTGGAGTATACTTCCAAATACATTCGTTTCTTTTTTAAATTTACATTCATATATGATTTTGTACTATCATAAATGTCTTAATGAAATCAAAACATTTTTTCTTGGTTAACTTGTATGCGAAAGACATTGTTATAACAATGTAAGACTTTCTTGTATTGTTTATGAAAAAACATTAAAATTACTTGGCGTCTTTTTGTTGTATTGATTTTCTGTTTTGAATAAACTACAAACATTTTAAAAGCTTCACATTTTGTATCTGCTAAATCAAGTAATCAAATAGAATTCTTTTGTAACATTTGCTTTGTCTTCCAACTTGTATACATTAATAAATATGAATATTAATATGGCTTCATATTTTTTTTAATCTTCTCATTTTCTAAAGTGTTTTCTTGCAATAAATATTTGTAATTTAAAAAAAAATAGTAAATGATCTTTTAATTAAAAATATTCATGTAATTCATTTTCTTTTTTTTCTTTTTTTCCTTAGATGTATGCAACTGCTCTGGCTAGCTTGCGTCCTGCTCCCACAGATACCTGTCCCTTATGGCTAAATATGGCTTCTGTGGCTGCTCTACCCACTCAGTGTAGCCGGCATAACACTCCATCTCGAGCCCATGCTCTCACTAAATTGATCAAAGGATGTCTTACTGGGCGCAAAGAATTCATTGTTGTATGTTGTTGTTTTATTAATTTTTTTTATTTTTACTATAAATTTTCTCATCTGTGTTTATATCACTTTTCAGAAGCCAAGTGTCTTGTGTGTGCATGTTTTTTTTTGTTTTCATTTTTTTTTTCACACTTGATATATCTTTTTGGACATCTTTCATATCAAACATTTGATATTAAAAGAAGTTCAGTCAAATATATCAACAGATTTTCACAATTCTGTCTCGGGCTATAAAAAAATCTTTGCACTTAATTTCTATAAAATGAATGACATCTTTCAGTACAATAAAAAGAATAAAGGAAATGTAACTTGGATTTTTATACAGTTTGTAAAATAGATTGTTCCATTTGTCAAATTTGAAACCGTATTTCCTGATTTATTTGACAAGTGCTCTTTCATGTCAAAAACAAAAAAAAAGTCAGTTTAATTATAATAAAAATTTACTCTCTATTACTAATTAAAAATATACCTTCTTTTGTACATGCATATGTATAAATTGATCTATAGATTGACTTTTTTCTTGGCCTCTAAATGAATTTGTGCTTCAGACTTTGAGAAACTAAGCATTACATGTACATTGTGGTGTAATAGATATTGGCTCGGAATGAAAAATCAGAGAAAGCCAAGTTTGAATTCCAGTCGAGTTGGTTACATTCACTTATATAAAAATATCCTTGGCAAAGGTATGAATCCATCTTGAATTGTTAATCTTGTTAAGCATATTTATATCTGTACATATGAGATGTTTGATGCTGTTAATGTGAATCTGAAAGTTTAAGCACTCAAGATATGCCAAAGTAGAGTACTGGGTTCATTTATTGTTGGCATTTGGTCCAAAATGCAAAAAAGACAAAATACCTCAATTTTAATATAGCTGCTAAAATTGCGTATGCACACAAATCAGCTGAAGAATAGGGCAAGTTATATTTGCTGTTCAATAATCTTCTGTTAACATGGAAATTAATGCTGAATCTTGACAACACTTCAGAAGATGGATCTTAAACATTTGTTGGACTGAGAAAATGCATCATGAACGACTTTTTCTACTAAAATTTAAGGCACACAAATCAACTCTCTCACAAAATGTTTCTTTTTACAAATGCTATAAATTTATAGATATATAAAATTATTCATGAGGATTCTGCACTTGCAGTGGTAAAACAACAACAACAAAAAAAAATGCTAAAGCTTTAGAGCCTATAACTGAGGAGAATAACTGCTGAAATTGTAATGGAAGGATTGTTAATGCCTTTCTTGAAAATGTTAATTCCCAAGGGATTTGCAGGCAGAAATAGCATCTCCTTTGCACCATTCTTTAAGATAATTCTCTCCTTGAACAATTCTAAATTTATAATTTATTGGTGGTTGAATGTTTCTCAACTTCACATACAATGATGTCCCTTTTTGATTTGTGATGAACATTTGCAATGTCAACTTTTATGGGCTTATGGCCACGTTCTGTTCCCATACAGTCACCAAAGTTAAGCAACATCAAGTCTGGTCAGTACCTAGATGGGTGACAGTTTGGGAATACCAGGTGCTGTAAGCTTGTATGTGCAGGTGTTGTAATGGATAATGGCTCAGAATTGTTAATTGGAGAGCCAAGTTCCAATTCCTGTTGGGTTCATTATATTCACTTATGTGCAAAGACCCTTGGGGAAAGGTATGAATCCATCTCCTCTCCTCCCATTTATAGGTTAATTAGCAAAATTTGTATCACTAAACCATTATTATCTCCCTCCAAAAAAGATTCTTACAATTTAAAAATATTTTCTGGCTTTAAATAACCTGCCAAGAATTGATAAGCTGTAAAAAAAAAACAAATCAGTTTTTTTATGGAAGGTAGTTTGCTTTAACAATGATTGCATATTAAAATGCTGTTGCTGACCAAATGTTTATAGAAGTATGACTGCTGTCTTAAAAGATGGTTGAAGAATAAAGTTCTCTTTGTACAAGTGTAAAAATACTGAAAATAGATGTTGATTAGTCAAACTACTTACTCTACATGAATGTTAAAGTAAACATTTTTATCTTCTGTCTCTTAGTTTCAATATTGCCAGATGAGAGAGGACCTTATGCTGTGATTGAGGTAGACCACAAATTTGACCAGTTTTGAATGATTCCATTACATGTGGGATATCTCTCAACCAGTTATAGACAGGCCACATGACTTTTGGTTGAAAGACTAAAGATTTGTATGATACAAACTTGATTTTTTTTTTGTTTTTTATCTTTCATCCAAGCTGAACTTTTGGCTTAATGTGTGTTTAACAAATTTGAATTATTTATTAAGTTATTAAATTGAACATAGTGCCTCTGACACTAATTAGAAATGAAGGCATTGACAACTGCTGGTCAACTTAAAAATAAATAAAATAAAAATAGTTCAAACAAATGTCAAAACCTTGTACAGTGAAGAAAGGGCTGCCTTCAGCAAATAGGACTGCAGTCCTCATAGGAAACTGAAGACAATGTTTCATTTGTAATATTAAAAAAAAAAAAAATTCTAATCACCCCACCACTGCCACTCAAAAAAAAAAATAGGAAAAAAAAAATGCAATAATTCCACTAAGGCACCAGATATTTGGAGTGAAAGACAAAAAAAAAAACTTTAGGAGCCAGAAACTCAACTCCTAAGTAGGGAATGAGGAAATACATCTCTCCTGTTCAAAAACCAGGGAGGAGTGTGAACCGAATGATAGGCAAACCTATCTGCTCTTATTGAGAAAAAAAATTCATAGCAATATATCAGAGATGGCAATATGTGCAGCACCAGTGTAGGATGGCAGGTAGTTTGCCTTCTGTTTGTGATCACTCAACCTTTATGCATGTAAACATGGTTTGGTTGAGAGAAGAAAAAAATCATTGTTACCTCACTATAAGAGTTTATTTGTACTGATCAGAATCATTCATTTATTACAGAAACTCTGAGGGAAAATTTAAGATAAACTAGAAATTGTGGTTTGCATGGCTTTATATTTTACACAAAGCCAAAAGAAGTAATTCTATGATTTACATTGCTCATACTGTTGTTGGCATCTTTTTATTGTACTATTCACAATGTAAATAGTATAAATAGTTACAATACCTCATGTCAGAAATATAGACAGAAGTAATTCCACATCTGACACAATGTCTCTTTTTAATCTCTATTTCTTTATTAAATATAATCAAACATAATTTAAAATTATTCAAGAATGATTTCACCAAACAAAATTAAATTATTTGATCAGCATGTAAAAAAAGGTTAAACACTACTTTCAAAAGACTGTTACTTGATGGACATTATATTTATACTGCCATTGAATATTACCAATGCCCTCTTGGATAGGACTTTGTTTATTCAAGGATACTCGGGAAATGCCATTATGTATCTTCAGAATGTATATTTTGTCAATGAACATGTTGTCTGTCTGCAGAACATGAGAAACAGTTTTGGCCCTTTCTGCTAAATTCAGGAATCAAACACTCTCCAGCCTGACAAGCAATGTGAATACACAAACTGAATCATCTGTGTGCCATGTGGATAATAATACTATGTGGAATGCACTTTTGGATGAAGCATTTTGTGCACTACACTTGATCCTCTTTTTTTTGCATCTATAGAATGCATATTATGCAAGGTTCTTTTTTTTCAAAGATAGTCTTCTTTGGTCTTCTGTCATTAAGTAGTTGGTGGCTTCCTAAATGGATATTTCAAGAATTTCTATGACGTAAACAAAAATGTCATTCCAGTTGTTATGCAGAATTTTTACATAATAATGGTAAATAACCTTTACTCCTCATATCTTAATGGAAAGAAAATAAGTAACCAAAGTTGAATATGAATTGTCAAGATAAAAAGAAAAAAGAAAAGTAAATTACAATTGATTGAATATTTGTAAGTCCAGAAAGTAAATTTCTTTTTCTTTCCCTTCCACAATTAACAAACATCCTGTAGATGAAGAGAATTTGCTTCCTTATCAAAGTGTTTCAAGTTCCTCAAAAACACTTTATGCTCCTAATAGACTAAATCTGTAACATTTACAAAAAAAAGAGAAAGATTATTGAGAAAATGTTTTCTTTCCTACCTATTTATATAATTAACAAAACAAACAGAAGTACAACTATTCTGTTCTTGTATGTTTGATATAAAGGAGGTCTAGGAAAATTCTTGTCCCAATCCACACCTCCAAATTTTGATCAGAAGAGTTTATTGGTTGGGCTTCTTATCACCACCTTATATATGATGTTTTTTGCCAACACAGCTGTTTCTATTTTAGGTTTGTAATTCAGTTGAATAAGCCCATATGAAAAAGTCAGCATGAATGTTCATTTCAGGCTACATCATCTGAAGAAGACTTTGGAACAAATGAACATGTATAAATATTTGTGAGATAGGACTTTGTTTATATTGATGTTTAACAACCCTGATTCCTTTTGTGCTTTTAAAATAACTATAATTTGTTGAAATCCCAATCTTATATATATTTATCTTTTTTCCCTTTCAGATGGTGTGTGAGCGTAGAGATGTGTTAGCTTCAGCATGTGCTATAGCCCGTGCACTGCCAGAGTACAACTGCAAAGCCAGCTGTTCTAATAGTTTTTCTCGATCGGTAACTGTAGAATTTATTCTTGTTGGGCCTGATTGTGAGAACCCTCTGTCCAGCAGTGACCTCGATTGCCTGCACACTATCACATCAGGTGTTAGGCTATCAGCCAGGGTTGTTGATACGCCTTGTTCTGAGATGCACACTGATGCATTTGTTGATGTAAGTACATAGAAATATACATGTCTGTTGTTTTTCGGCCTTGCTGTCTCTTTTTCAGACTTTCATTTTATAGCTTTATACCTGATCTCTGTTCTTTTCTAATCAGAAGTTCCCATATAGTGTTCATTTTTATGCTTAGCTTTTTTATTAAAATTATGGATGCCTTATTTTCCTATGTGTGTTGTTTTTAGTAATTTCATTCAATTAAAAATTGAAAATTTCTATTAGTTTCTTTCTACACATAATTGTCCATAGTTTTTCTGTAATCTTTCAGTGTTCTTCAAGCTTTACCTTTGGGGAACAGCTAGTCACAATTTTGTATTCTTTGCTGCAACTACATTAATAGGTATATGCACTGTTCTCGATCATGTTCTCATTCAATGATAGCTTGGCCCTGAGGAATGAACATTTTTATTATTAAATCTCATCTCAACATGATTTGCAGATATTTTTTTTTAAATCCTTTCTTATATGTCTTAAGTAAGGTGGACATTGTGGTAGTTATTGAATTCTTATATTTCTACTAATGGAAGCCGACATTTATGCTTTCACAATAGCCGTGATATAACCAACCCCCTTTGGAGTAACAACTACATTGTCAGCCTCCATTTCATTCAAATGTGTAGTGAGACTAAGAGCAGAAACAGGAAGTTACCTCTTTCATAGCTTAAAACATGACATATTTTGGGCTTTGCTCAATAGGGTCCATGCATAACTTCCGGTTGAAGTTGAACTTTATTGCACTAAATAAATATATGTTGACCAATAAGAAATGAGCATGCCTGAAATAATCAATAACTTATTCAGGGCCTCTTTCAACTTTGCTAACAATATAAATAGATCCCTGTCTAAAAGAAAAAGGAGAGATTCCAACAGGACACACAGAGAGATGAACAAGTACAACTGTGAATGGAGACATCAAAGACATCTTGGCTTCAACAACCATTACCACTCCTCATACCTTTCTTGTCATTTTCACCTCCCTTTAATTCTATCATACATTCCACCTCCTTTTTCTTATTCACAGGACATATTACCAAATGAAACTAGTATTTCTCAAAAACACTTAAGTACTTTTACAAACTCTTGTATTCATTGAAATCTAATAAAAAAAAAAATTTATTTAATCTTACTTAAATACCAACCTTGTGCCATCTATGAACATTACCACTCTTTTTGTAAATACGAAACTACTTATTAATGTTTACATAAATTGTGATATTACAGGCTCAATTGTTCTTAAGATGTAGGTTATTGTGTTTTATTTACTCGTTCATACATCCCTTATAGCGGGCTAATCTCAAGGCCCAAATCGAACCCCACAAATAACCCACTATCAATCATTTCTTACTGGATAAGTAATTGGCTAATCATAAAGCTATATTCGGTCATCCTATTTAGAATTGACTAAAAAAAGCAGTCGCGGATCAATTTTATTTACTGTTAATTCTGAATTTTTTTTTTTTTTTTTAATAATTTTTCTTTCACGCTCTCTTTTTCTAACAGGAAATTGCAAAAGTTGGAGTGGAATTAAATATTGTACCTGTTGTCATTCGTGGACAAGAACTTGCAGAAAGAGGTTTTGGAGGTAGTTAATGTTTTGTTTTCAAGCAAAATATAAATCTGTAAAATCCAAAAAGCACACACACACACACACACACACACACACATATATATATTCTTTCTTTTTCTTTTTTTTCTTTTTTTTCTTTTTTTTTCTCTCTTTTCTCTTTTTTTCTCCTCTCTTTTCTCTTTTTTTCTCTTTTTTCTCTTTTCAATGAGAATCTCTACTTTTGTATTCTAGGTATCTACAATGTAGGTAAAGCTGCTTCCCATCCTCCAGCATTGGTGATTCTCAGTCATCGCCCAGAGGGTGCTACCTATAACATTTGTTGGGTAGGGAAAGGAATTGTCTATGACACAGGAGGATTATGCATCAAATCTAAGGTACCAATTACTATTTCTTTACTTTTTCTTTTTATTAAGGAAGTTTAAAATCGCTTTGCACTTATGTGTAGAAGATTAAATGAAGAGGCCATAAAGAATCTGTTGGAATGTTCCTGAAAATAATTCATTTTGTTCACAACTGTAATATTTCCTTCTAATAGAAGAACAAATTAATTTTTACTTTTTTTTTTCTGTCTTGTGTCAGCTTCATTACTTTGCTTCTTTTCTTTTTTTTTTTTTTTTTTTTAAATAAATAAAAATTTAAATTCTGATAATTTGTATAAAAATGAACTTTGTCATATTCTTTGTGCCATAAGTGAGCAGAAAAGATAATAAAAATTGTGTGCAATGTATAAAATTAGGGATAATTCAGATTTGAATAGTTGTTTAAATTTTATGAAACAATGTGGCATAATTGCATGAGAAAATATTTACATAAAAACAGCCAAATTTTTTAAATGTACTAGTTGAATTTCAATAAAATGTTCAGTACTTATTTAATTATGAATATATTTATGAAAAGATTTTATAACAAAGGTTTATGGAAATTAAATCGTATTGCTTATGAAATCTCTGTAAAATGTCTTTTTGGATGTAAAAAAAAAATAATTTTCATGGAAAAATTAAATCCGTCGAAATTTTATTGAAAACTTTAACCAGAGATGATATATTCCCTTAAATTGAAAAGTTTTTTTCTTAATGTTTTTATTTTTAAAAAAAAAAAAAATTTATAATCAAGAAATGTAAAGCTTGAGAAAAGCCAATGAACCAGATTTAATAATAAGCTAATATTTTATTATTATTATTATTTACATATAGAAATTGTATAATTCGCATGTAGGGGGAGACTAAAATTACTTTAGCTACTCTTGGCTCTTTTTGCTTACTAACTCTTACACATGACAAAAAAGATTTTTTAGTCACCCATACTTCAACCATGAGATAATATTAAAGCTAAGTGACATTATCAATCATGTCACAATCTAAACTATTTTGGATAATATAGTATGTGGCAGAAATACCTCCCAAATATGCTACTTATTGTCTTATTATTATGTAGGCAGTATTCCTGTATAACAAAGAACAACTCTAAAACCTACTTTAAAAGTTCATAAAAGATGTGTTGTTTTTGTTTTTGTTTTTTTTTCTCCTAACTTTTTACTTATTTTCTTAAAATTAAAACCAAAATTTAAACTTCAAAGAAAATATTTAAATTATTCCAATGCAGATTTTTCAAGCCATGGAAATTTTTTTTTTCTTCTTTCTGTATTTGGCCTTGACTGGTCATTGTAAACAATATGTTTAACTTATGACCTCCACTTTATTATGTCTCTTGAGAATATTGTGTTGCAAATGTAACTGTTGAATTTGTTTACTTAAATCCATTTTTATTTCATGGCATAATCAGTCTCTTGGGAGTATTCATCAAAATGGAAATTGTCGAGCAAATTGGATTTCTAAGCACATATTAAGGGGTTTACATAAATTATTTCTGAAAGAATGTAAGCATGTAGATTTTTTTTATTTGGCAAATATCTTCCTTGCTTGGCTGACCCACATTTGTATGTCTAGAGATTAGAAAATATATCTATTTTGTTATCAGCCTTTCTCTACCTCAACCCCTCACTCTGGAATAGTAGTCTTCAGTCATGGATATGAATACATTTTTATTCAAAACTTGTGTTGGTTAGCTTAGAAATACACACACACACACACACACACACTGTTCAGAATGTTTATTTCTGACTGGCTATAGTTTGGCCTCTTTTAACCCATATCAGAGCTCACCTTTTGTTCATCACATACTGGATTAGCATATGTGCTTTTTTGTGTGTGTGTAATTTTTATATACATTATTTATATATTATATGTGCGCAGTACCTATTGGAAAGCGCTCAATATCAGTGACCCTGGGTTTCATGCCTCTGTGATCATCAGACAAACTGATTAATTTTCAAAATTTTGAATATATGGTGGTGTTTAATGGTAGTGGGAGGAAAAATTCTCCTCTGTGTCTGTTTCAGGATGTGTGTATACATACACAGTTGTCATGTTTTCCGTGTTGGAATTGTGTAGTGAATTTCCCTCAACAAGGAGTGGGCTGGGGTATTGCTGTCATCTTACAGGTCATTCGTCTATTTTGTTAACGGAAATACACACACACACACACAAATAGTAAAAATGACATACTAATTACAGTATTAAATAAATGAATAGTAAGACCGAAATGATAATTACAATATTGGGGGCAATGATGATGGTAAAGTATAATTAGTGATGACATTTGGTTGTTGATGAGATTGGTGTGGTGGTGATAGTGGAAATAAAATGGAAGATGGTTTTATTGTATGGTGGGTTAAACCAGATTATGTTTCTTTTTCTGTTTTTGTGTCTTGGCTGTGGAGGTGTGTATTGTATTGTAGCTGTTATATGTATCCGCTTTTTCTTAGTGCATTGTCATATGGCGTTTTCTTGTTGAAAATGTCTGTTTGATGAGTTTTCAGATAACCTGTGGATGATTGGAGGATGTGTGTAAGTGAGGGTGTCATTATCCTTTTGTATGGTTTGTATGTATGTTTGTTCAAGTTAAGAAATTTACTATTCTTGTACCTGCATTTATTTCTATTTTAAATCCAATTGTTTTCAGAACGTTTACTATTTTTTCCGAAATCTATTTTGGGGCCCATTGGGTACTCTCATCAGAATGAAGCCATCATCTCTATATAGGCCTGTGTCTTTTTTCTCTATAATCTTGGCTAGGTATGAGAGGATGAGTATACCTACTAGTTCACAGGTCTCTGCTCTATCATAGCTACCCATTGTTACATCAAACAGGTTGTTTGGAATTTTTGTCCATGGTTCATTGTTGTGGAGCAATAGTGATTTATGGCAGTATTTGATTATTTTAATATCAGCATCTGTAATTTTTACATGCTGTTGTGCTAGTTGCATATCGTTCTATATATTTTCCATGATGGAGGGGTAAAAATTCACTATGTTGAACTGGATGAAAGTAACTTTGTTTTTGTCTTTTATTGCTGTGAACCAGTCAGTGACAGCTTTAGTAATTTTCCATTGGTTAAGTTCTAGTTTTTTCTTTGATGTGGTGTTGATATTTTCTAAGATGTTTTTACTGATTCTTTCTATTTTGCTTTTCACAGGGTTGATTAGGCGGAATGTGTTTTTTTTTTTTTTTTTTTTTTATCAAAATTGGGTTTGTGGTCTTTTGCTGTCATGAATGTTTGTTGTTCAGCTATGCAGTTTTTCCTTTTGTCTATTTTTAGTTTGACAGCTATATCTTTGTTCCACACTGTTCATATATGTATATGTTTGTGTGAACTACAATATGTACACCTGCATGCATGCATCTATGTATGTCTGTGTACATATTAGTGACATCCCAAAACAAAGAAGAGAATTTTTCCTCCTACTACCATCAAACACCACCATACATAACCATAAATAGGTTCAAAATTTTGAAAATTAATCAGTTTGTCTGTCAATCACCATGGTGTGAAACCCAGGGCCAAACTCAAAACCAATCCAACTTATATATATATATATATATATATATATATATATATATATATATATATATATATATTGAGGTGTGTGTTATTAAAGACTACAAAAGTTTTACAGTTAATAATCTTTCTTTAGTTTCTTGCTTTTTCGTAAGTTTCTTCAAGAATTTGTAAGCATTTTTTGCAATTATATAGAGGATTTTGGTATTGTTGATTGGGATTTTTCTTATTTCGGGAGATTTGAATCCGTTATTAGTGGTACAGTGTTGTTATAAGGTGATTTTTTTTTTTTTTTTTTTTTTTTTTTTTTGCACTGGTGTCATTGAAGATAGTATGTAAGATGACATGAGAGTTGTGGTTGATGTCCAGTGTATGTTCTAGGGTGAGAAACACTCTTGAAACAGGCATGTATACCTGTACGCTACATTGGTTTTATTGAAGTACAGTATTATTTCAGACAATTGTTTGAGGTCTTAAATTTGGTGTTGTATATTATTAATTTTGTTTGTTTTTGTTGTTGGATGGGGTTTAGTGTATCTCTGAATGGTGGTAGTTATTGCTAGTTCATGAAGTTATACATAAAAAACATAAAACACTACTTTTCAAATATCCATAATAATAACAAAGAAAAAATGACAGACAATAATAACACTATTAACCTTTTCTATAGGAATCAAATGCACAGCAACTATAAAGTAGCAATAGTTAACACCATCCACAGATACACTAAAGTTCTATACTAAAAGTTTCTTCTATTGCACTTCTTGCTTGTGGAATCTTGCTTCCCAGTCAATTTTGATCTTCAAAAATGTCAATTGTTATCTTGTCTTAATTCTTGTTCTTTTATTGCCCTGTCTCATTAGTAGTTTTTCTCATATTCTCTAACACTCAGTAACCCCTTGCATCCTTTATTGCCTTGCTTGGGGTGAAATGATTTTAAAAAAAAAGAAAAAAAAAAGTACTCCATAGAATGTTAGTAAAACTGATTTCTGCTTTCAGAAGTCTTTATCTGTGATGACAATTCAATGCAACATTACTATGCTAGTTGAGAACTGTGTGTGGGGGTAGATAGATGGAATTTAATATAGAGAGTAACTGAGAGTCGGATTCTCTTGTGTTTGAAAATTATATGTATGGCCATGATTTTATAAAAAAATCTTTAAATTAGAAAAAAATCTGTCAATAATTTAAAAAAAAAAAAAAAAAAAAAAAAAAACATATGTTCAGATTTACCAACAACAAAGTTTCAGTAGTTAAGATTTCAGTAAAATTTTGCATTTTTAAATTGCACCAATTTTCTTTATATCAGCTTCTCCTAATTTGTTCTCATTTCATCTTTTCAGGCTACCATGCTTGGCATGAAGCGGGATTGTGGTGGGGCTGCTGCTGTTCTTGGTGCTTTTTATGCAACTGTTAAACTGGTAAATTTTTATCACTTTATATACACACTTTCTAGTTTATGGCCACATCATACAATCACAGAAGTTAAACAAGCTTTGATATGCAGGTGGTTTAATGGATAATGGCTCAGAATTGTTAATCACATTGTTACTCAAGTTTCAATTCCAGCTGGCTTCCTTATATTCACTTATGCACAAATACCCTCCCCCAAATATGGGTTAATTAGTAAGAATTTTATCATTATTTAAAAAAAGATTTTCTAGCTTTTAATAACTTGCAATGGGTTGATAAGCCATAGAAAATGAACCAATCAACACATATACTAAATACGTCTTGTATTGATTCCTAAATTCATTGTTCATAAAAGAATTGTTCTGACTCATTTTTTAATATTATTTAAAATCAAGACTTATTTGAATGTTGAAAGTAGCATTGTTTTGACTTTTCAAATGTGCACTCTGAGAAGCAACAATAAATAAAATTGTTTTATTTGCCTTAAAATCCAACTGCTACATTATTCAAATAGATGCCATTGTATCTGACATCACTGTGCAAATATTTATATCTCCCAGATACTTGTCAAGCAGTATATAGAATTACTGTAATTAGTGATCATTTGAACATTATTGTTAATAACAAATCAAATTTTCTAGCTAAATTATTGTCATGTTTGTTTGCTTTCCCCTTTTCTCAAATACAGGGTTTTAATGAAAATTTGCATGCAATATTTTGCTTGGCTGAGAATGCTGTGAGTCCTGATGCCCTCCGTCCAGACGACATCATCAGTTTGTATTCAGGGAGGTCAGTGCATTTAAGATTAGTTTCACTATGAAAGTTTTTGTAAACTCTTATTTTGCTTAAGTCAGATTAAAAAAAAAATTCAGTAATTTCTGACCCCTTGACATGCACTCCTTTGCTCATTTTACAAGGAGCGTGCTGGAAAGTTTTCAGCCTGACAAAAAAGCCCTTCTCAAACCAAATCTTAGTCATTTTTCAACACTGTCTTGTAGAATAAATTTATACTAGGCCACAGTTCCTTTCCTGTATGGATATTGTTGTTCTTAATTCATTTATTTTTTTTTTTTCCACCCTCTTTTCTATTTAAATTTCTCTTGTGATGTTTCCTTTATTTGCAGAACTGTTGAGATTAATAACACAGATGCTGAAGGCAGATTGGTTCTCAGTGATGGAGTGAGTAATTTCTACATTTTTGAAAATTCCTACATCCGTTGTTTTTTTTTTTTGTTTTTTAAGCTTATATAAGGATATCGTGTTTATTACACATAATACCAATTCCAAAATAGCATATGGATTAGACCATGTAAACTGAGTATGAAATGAAAATATGTGATTGTCAGATTACATGATACTTAATTATGTCAATCTAGTCATGGTTGTAAACTTTAAAATTTAGTAGTGTGGCATGTAAAACATACCTTAACCTTCCACCTCTTAATTCACTTTTTATTTGGGAATCCCATTATTTTATGACTAAATGATAACACTTGTAAAAAGTCCTTATGTCAGTATTTGCCATTATCTTTAAAAGACGTTAAAAATGCAAGCAACAATGAATATACCCCTTTTCTTGCTTTAATTGCTTTTCATGCTGACCTTGAGATTATGAACACACTTGATAAATGTAAATAAAGATGATACATCAGGTCTGGAAATGTACACAAGTTAGACATCTTTTGTTGAGAATGGTGGTGGCTTGTAAAGCAAAGTTAAAATTATTATTATAAATTTATTATTACAGTGAAACCTTTGTTACTTGGTACAAACATGTTCTTCTTAATGAAGGGTATTAGAATTATTATTTACACTATTTGGACTATCTTTATTATCACATTTCAGCTGTTGTATCCTCACGTGTATATCAATCTGGGTAACCTACAGGGAATTCTGATTTGAACCCTTTATTTAATCTACAGGGGTAGGTTGTTCTCGTTTCACTGACCATGTCTAGGGATATCTCATCTAGTTCTTATTTTTAGTACTGCTCAGTTATTGCTTGCCTGTTTCCAATGAGTCCAAGAACTTTATTGCCTGGTCCAGGGATTGAACTATTAAGTCACCAAATTCCCAAACCAACATTTTAATCCACTAGGCTATTGTCCCGTAGGACAATTCATTGTAGTAAATTTGGATTGTTAAATCTAATCTGCCTGTTGATCAGTGCTGCTGCTGCTGTTGAAAACTTGCTGTCATTTGCCTTTCTTTATTAGCAGCTCCCATATTTATTTCTATGCTAGTCCTACTCAGATCATCATAACCTAGCATGTGTTGATTCTTTCAGATGTCTAACTCTCCAGTGTTCTTCCTTGTCCAGTATTTTCACTTCATTCTACAGGGGCTGATGACTACAACAAAGATGAGGACAATAGCCCAAATATAAATAGTGTAAGTAACTCCTCGTCCCAGAAATCCAGACAGAAAAGGTATCGGAATTAGTTAGTCTATGATGAATGAAGTGTCTACAACCCTGTTTTTTTACTGACATCTTCAATTACAACAGATTACTGGGAAAAGAACATCACTCAGCAGTTGGAATGAAAACAACTTTAACAGATGTCAATGAGTATAGAGTTGAAAAGTGTTTCCCAATTATTTCTCTGAGGATAAATAACTGTGTCTTGTCTTGCAGGTGGCTTATGCACAGAAAGATCTGAAAGCTGACATAGTGATAGACATTGCCACATTAACAGGAGCACAAGGTGTGGCCACTGGTAAGTTAACTCTTTAAAATTTTGAATTTTAAAATCACTTTTTGAATTAGTTAATAGGTCTGTCAGATTGGGACTATTAAGTGGTGAACTGAAATTTATTTAAAAAACCACTAATACTAAATTTTTAATTGAATTTCTTCTTGAAATACTGAACTTGTAAAATTTACCCGGCATAGCTACTTTGCATGAATTTGTAGTGTTTCAAATATTGAAGCAATTTTTATGTTTAATGTTAACCACAGTAGTATAAATGTGGTTTCCCCATCCTTTTCAGGTTACCTCATACCTTGATTTAAATCTAGATTTAATTAATTTGTTGTTGTTTTTTGGGGGATTTTTATGGCTTATCAACCTTGTGTCTGTTATCTAAAGATAGTTCTTTTTTATTTATTTATTTTTTTCTTGAGATAATGATTTACTGATGCAACTCCTACTAACTGACCCAAATCTAGAACAGCCAGTTTTAATTGTGTACTTTATAAATAGCAATACTTACTATGGCATAATTTAGCAAAAATTTAAATTAACAGTTAATTTCTTGGGTGTTCTAGAAATATGACCCTGTTCGCATTGTCCAAATACAGTGTAAAGAATTCATTTCTGTTTCCAAATACAGACAAGTGTCACGCTTAAATTTGACATAACATATACATGCTTCATATCAACCTGTTATATCCTACCCAACTGATCAAAATTCTAAACATCTCTTTAAACATTTGAAAAGTTCTTTAAATTATCCAGTTAAACTTTTTATGACTTTCCATTTTTATTTTCAGGTCGTTTTCATGCAGGGATTGTTACTAACAATGAAAGCTGGGAGACTGCTTGCTTAAAAGCTGGTCGTGTCAGTGGAGACCTTGTACATGCCATGCCCTATACTCCCGAGCTACACTTTGGTGAATTTTCTAGTGCTTTAGCTGATATGAAGAATTCTGTAGCAGTAAGTGTGTTTGTTTCTTTATCTAGTCTTTCAAAAATATTTAAGTTGAATATATGAAACTTGATGGACCTTAACAGTAGATGAATTGTTGGATTTTGTTTTACGGTTCATCAACCCGTTATAGGATATTTAAAGCTGAAACATATTTTTAGATTGTATAAAAATAATTCTTTTGTTTGCAATTGAATATTGTATTAACAATTTTGTGGATAAATTTAAATTTTATGACAATAGTCTATTCTACTACTTAATCCATAGCTGAGGAGAGATGGATTCATACTTTTCCCAATAGTATTTTCCCATTAGTGAATTGTTGTGGAGTAAAGTGTACACCCCCAGTGACTCTATATGACTCCAATACTGTAGAGTTCCATGGTATGGGGTCAAGAGTAGTTTTATTTGAGTCAGTCTTCATACTAACTACACAGGCATTACGGCAATAGCCTAAGCATTACATATAGAGAATACTTTAACGAATTACGTTATACCAAGTACAAGTGAGTGTTATAACAATAACCTTACAATAGGAAGTTATAATAGGAATGTAACAAATTTGACTCTTGAATTTCTCATTCAAGCAAATGGTCAATGAGAAGACATCAGAGTTGCAGTTGATAGGTTTAATGTTTTCTATGTATATTACAGTAGTTGAACTAAAATTCTGACAATGCAACATACCAGAGGTGAAAACTTTCCATTTAATATGCAAAACAAGAAGACATCCAGTTAAGAAACCCGAACGAGAAAAATGTCCTTTAATTAGGTCAATGACAATGAAGAAATATTTTGAGATATTGTCAGATTTCTTAGTAAATATTTAAAATGTTTTTCCTTTTTTATGGCATCCTAATTCTTATTTTGACCTTAAAGGGCTTGTGGAATATCGTGCTACAAAGAGTATATGCATCACATTTAGATAAACTGTATTTGACACTTATAACTTGTTTATACAACTGAAAGCTTGTCTAAATAGTGGTAATAGTTTACCTCTAGAATTTCTCATTTACCTTGACTCTTAATTTTTATTTATATTACCTTAAATTTTTTTTTTTTTTTATTGCAACTTTTGAAAGTTTATCCTTTATTTTTTGATTCTGTCCTGTCTACTCACTGCTGTAGATTGATGGCCTTGAGTAACTGTTAGAACAAAAGGCAACTACAAAATAAAAAATAAATACTAATCAAAATGAATATTTGACAATGCTTCATTTAATAAAAGTAATAATACAACTCCTTTTGTTTTACTTAATATGACAATTGGACGCAAAAACACCATCCTGTGTATGACAAACTCCATCCACGTTCTGAGTAAGATAAACTACATCTGACAGCAAGGCCATTGATCAGAAGGTTTTAATTGCTGGTGTTCCCAGGTCCACCCTGACCCTGTCAGGGTCTCGGCTATGGGCAAATGTTTCACACACACACACACCCTTCCAAAGGGGTCAAAACACTATGAAAGTATAAAAACAGGTTTTAATACCAGCAATACTTTTAGGGAAAATTTTTTACCAGTAATACATTTTTGGAAGAAAAAAAAAAAAAAATTACCAGCAATAAAAATCTTGTTGACATGAAATAACCTATTGAGGTTGATTTGCTGTAAAACAAAACAAACCACAAGAACATTTTTAAAGAATTAAAAAAAACAAACAAAAAAAAACACTCTTATTTACAACAATAGACTATCAATAGAAGTCACTTCCACTTCTTAAATACTCTTGCAATGGTGTTATTGGGAATTCTAAAAATATTGGATCTCCACCAACCAGGAGGGATCACCCTCTATCTAGCATTCCAGCCTCTGATTTATGAATCCACCAATAATGCAAACAAGGATTGGGCTTACATTATTGACTCTGTATGGTGTGTAGAGGCTGAAAAATATAATTTTGTTACTTTAATGATATTTTTACACCTAATTTATGTTGAATTTTATCTTGGTAAATTTTTGCTTTCCACTTGTTGACAAATTAAAATTAAGCTTAATCCTCAAATCACAACCTACTTGAGAAGTTAAACAAAGCAGGCAAAATCTCTCCTCTCTGTAAATTTAATTTTCATTCTTTCTCTTTCAGGATCGTAGCAATGCTCAGGTGTCATGTGCTGGTCTCTTTATTGCTTCCAGCTTAGGCTTTGATTTTTCGGGTGTCTGGTTGCATATAGACATGGCTTTCCCAGTATATTCTGTAAGTAGATTTCTTTAAATCTACTTTTCTTTTTTGATATTAAAATAATTGTTAATAATCTTCAAGTAAGCAGTCTTGAGTTTATTTTTATGCATTTTTTTTTCTTAACCTAAAACTATCATCTTTTTGAAATTAAAAAATGGTATGCTTTTTGTATTTTTCCTACTTCTGCACTGCATACCAACAATATTGGTTGTGTATTCATCCTATAGGGTTATGAGATGGTAAGAAAAATTGTGAAAATAACTTGAAATAAGTCACCAAGTTTGAGATAATAATCATATCAGTATTAATTGTTATGCTCATAATCATGAACAAAATTCCTTGCATGAAATAAACAGCTGAAAATTAATCTTGTGCTATTATCTAACAAAATACATGTACAATAAGAATTTATTTTCCAGATATCTAATGTGCATGAGTTTATAACCTTTTTGAGATTATTAATATGTAGAAGGTATTTTTTTAATGTTGACATTCCTATTTTGCTTAAACACTGCTTAACAATTAAGGGTACTTCATGTGACAAGAAAACCATATTTAAGATGGTTATTTGAAAGGATTTTTTTATATTGATATCTTATACTGAGTAAGGTATTATGAGCAAATTTCTTGTGTACATTAAATGGACATAGTCTGGAAGATGAGAAATCTTGCCCCTGAACTAAAATTGTTGATCAATTGTAAATCAATGAAGGTTCAAATAATTGACTAGCCACATTTCTTTGGTAATACAGAGTTGATAAATTTATTCTATTTTAAGAGTTATTTCTTTATTCGAGAATTAAGCTAACCGCAACTTGAAATTACTTTCAATCTTAATTTATTTGATAAATTTCGTAACTGATAGTTTTTTTTTTTTTTTTTTCAGTTTAAAATTTCTATTTTGCATAAAAAGCAATTTTTCATCAAACCATTCCAGCAATTTCATTTTTACTGCTTAATTCTTTTGTGTTTTTTTTTTCTTTTCTTTTTTCCTTGTTATTGCAGTCAAAATAAACATTTATCCTCTACATTATGTTCCTGAAAATCTTGCTTTCTTTTTTTTTTCCTATACACAGGGTGAACGAGCAACAGGTTATGGTGTATCACTATTAGCAACTTTGTTTGGTGAAGGTTCCACCAACTCTCTGCTGCAATATGTGGCGCCACCTTTAGTTGAAAATCCCATGGATATAGAAGAGAATGAAGTGAAGAAAATCCGCTTGGTATAAATAACAGGGGTACCTCTAATGTTTGTCCGTATTTACTGAGGGCTTCTTAACCTTTTTATAGGCAAACAATTGTACACATTGTATACTTGTTTGCTATCACTGCTACCATTCTACTCTTTTGTTAGGAAATCTTAAAAGGCAAATTCTTAGTTAATGCACATTTTTATTATGAGATTTTATAATTAAAAAAAAAAAGAAAATAATAAAATAAAAATTTCATCCCACCCCCTTTTCCCCACCGTCTCCCACACTTCAGGATTCCCTATTAAAGTCTGTATTACACATGTAGGCTGACCTGTTCACAAATGAAAAACCTGAAATCATTCAGTGATCATAAGTGGATTTTTTTTTTTTTTCTCACTTTACCAAGTACACCATCTGATTTTTGCGCCTTGTTTTCAATTCACCTTTTTAAAGAATCAACTTTATAAGAATATCTACACGTAAATATCAGTTGGATTTAGCGTGATTTGTTCTGTCTGCTTTTTCCTCACTTTGAGCTTTTGGGTTAGCAAAAAAAAAAAAAAAATTTTTTTTTTTTTTTTTTTTTAATTAATTTGCTTTTCTATTCATCCGTCTAACACTAATCCATCACTCAATGGGAAAAGGCAGAAAAATCCACTCTCCATCCTGTTTGTTGTATTATTGAATCTCTTGTGTACAAAGAGAGATTAGACTGTCAATCATGAGCAAAAAGAAGAAAATGAGGCCCAAGTCACAGCTGTGCTTGGAACCAATCAAAAAAAAAAAAAATTAATGCTTAGTTGAAAAAAGAAAAAAAAAATTTTTTAAATATAAGACCACCTGATAGATATGTGATCAGTCCATAAGGGGTAGAACAAGCAATGAGAGCTTTCTGCAATCTCTTCACAAACTGAATCCTAGGCCTTAACTTAGATTAGAAAATTGCCACTTAAATATATTTCAAATTATCTGTATACACACACACACACCTGTATACATTAGGTATAATTTCTATGAATCAAAATGTGTATGATTTTGTAATGGTTATACTTGTTTTTTTTTTTTTTTTTTTTTTATGGATTTAGAGAAGGGACCATCATTTAATTGTGACTTTTGCATCTTGTCTGCTTTGCAATAATCAGGTTTTAGTGTTTAAGGAAAAAAATGTCATCTAAAATAGGCAACACTCTTTCTGTCTTGGTCTTCATATCAATTCTGAAATGACCCCTTTTCTCCAACTGGCAGTATAAAAAAAAAAAAATACAGAAAAGAATAGAAACACACTTTGCTGCTCTCCCTGCTTACATTTGCCCCAATTTGTTCAGGAATTGTCAAGAATAAAATATTGAATCTTTTAATAAATCTGTGTCACCTCAGCTTTTTTTTTTTGTCTCACTCTTGTTTGTTGTGTTGTTTTCTGGTGGTGGGGGAGATCATCATTGAATATAATTGCACATATGCTAAGAAATATGTTTATATTTTATCAATATTAAATAGTAAGTTAATATTTGTTTCTTCAATTTATAAAGAGATGCTGAAGCATTAACTGAATCTACAATTTTTCTTACCCTAGTCAGGTAGTAATTTCATGTACAATGTATCCAACTGACCATATACCATACAAGGAATAAAAACTTATGGAATAACTGAAAATATTAGGGTATTTGGGAATTATTAAAAATACAATAAACTTTTTCAATTACTGCAGCCCAATGGGCATGTAAATTTTAATATTTATTTAGAAAATTTGGGGTTTTCCTTAATAAATTTGTTTCTGAATGTTTTGCCATTTGAAATAGAAGACTACCTGCTTAAATCTGAGTATAGAGAATGTGGAAGAACCTCTCCTTTTTTGTTTTTATATATGCCAAAGCAGGACGGCTTCAACATAATTCATCATTAAACTGCTCAAGTTGCTGGCAATAAGTGTTTGCAATGGATGGTTCTTCCATAATGTGTAATGGATGACATCTGTGATATTCCATCAGAGACAAACAAGGACTTCTATAGATGGATTCCTGGTTTCTAATCTTTTCTGTTGACATGCTAAACCCATTTTTCATCACCTGTAAGAATGAAATACAAAAAATAAAAAACTGGCATTCATGGTTAAAGATTGCCGCAGATGACAGAATGTTTCTTTTCTCAAATGAAAGCTCTTGAAGAATCCAAATTCACACTTTGAAAGTTTTCCAAAATAAATGCACTATAAACAACATGGTTGGATAGAAGAGATAATCAACTAATTCCAGGCACAGTTTTCTACCATTCAACTTTGGTTCTGCCTTGGCTGATTAAGAGCAGTGAAATATCTAATTACTTTCTGCACACCTTAATAGTTGCGTATATCTTCAAAAAAAAAGTCAACTATTTGCACCTGTTGATTAGATTCTATATGTATTGATATATATTTCATTGAATTCATTTACAACATCTCAGTTGTAATTATTACTTAGAAACATTTCTAAAAGTAATTAAATATGGTAATTATTAGGAACACTTTCAAAACAGCACTTGTCTGTGAGTTTTTTTTTCCCCAAACAGGGCTTGAAAGCAACAAACATTTAAGTACAGTTTGAAAGCTTCCAGAATGATACTATAGAATAATTGAACTTCATGTGTTTATTTTATTTTATTTTATTTTTTTTCCTTAAAGGAATTCATTTCTTTTTAATCTTTGTAGTGTAGATTAGCATTTTTAGACCTTTGGTTGCCACACTTGTCAGAAGTTTGTGCGTGCATATATATATATATATATATATATATATATATAATTTTTTTTTTTTTTTTTTTCATTTTTTTTAAATAAAGCAATATATATGCATATCTTAAAACCAGCAATTTGGCAAAATGTAGTCTTTTTTTTTTTTTTTTTTTTTTTTTTAACAGAAAATTGTCATTAAAGAACAGATATGCTTATTTTAAATGAGAAATTTTTGTTCTCAATTAGATGCATATATCCATTTATTTAATTAAAAGGAATCTTTGCAATTAAAAAAAACAAAGTCACCTGACAATTGCTTATTTAAAATATTTATTCTTTAATAATAAAAAATTTTTTTTTTTTTAAGATGACAAAAAAATATTGCTATTGCTTATTGAAAATATTTACTTCAAATAAAACATTGAAATGTATGTTTGTTCTTTATTTAAAAGAAATCTTGGTGTATGAAAAAAAAAAAAGTTTTCTCGAGTAGATATCGGTGACATAACAGTTAAAAATTTGTAAATAAAGATGTAAGTCTGGATAATTTTGAATGTATTGATCAAGTCCCTTGGAGGAAGCATGTCAGCTAAGTTTTCCTTTTGTCTTTATACCTATTGTCCTTTTACAGATATACTCTGAAATATGCACACCTATACATGCATACATATATATTAAACTGACCTCAAAATTGTTTTTGCCATTAGAAGCATTTAGTTTTAACTAACTACATTCAAAAAGATAGATAAAGCTTTAGAAATCAATACAAAATGTTAGAAAATACAAATTTGCAATACTTTTTAGGGAAGGTTGTGTACTACTTTCAGATACCAGTAGTTAGTACTTAAAAATTCATGTAGAATAATTTTTTAAATAACTGGCTTTTCCTACTTCAACCATTGCTGTAACACAATCTTAATCCTATTTATCTATGTGACATAAGTTACTATTTAATTTTGGTATGCCACAGAGCACCTAGTGGGGTTCAAACTTGCTAAACATTACCCAATGGATTGTAGACAAAAATCTCAGAGAACTGATAAATTATTAAATGTATTTCCTAAAAATAAAAAGCATTAAATCTTTGTATAATTGTTTTATTACTATGGCAATTAAATATGGCTTTTATTGTACAAAGGAGGCAGCAAAATGTGATTCAGGTCTAGTCCTGGGTATTTCAAACCTGTGGCAGCAACTTCCCTTGAACAAAGATTGTAACAGTGAGGGGAGAGGTCAGAATAATCTACCACCTTTGTGAAACTGGTCATAAGGATTTGACAATTTTTGTCCTCACATTAAATTATGAATTGAATTTACCTATGTGAGAAAACGTACATTCTAAAAAAAAAAAATCTGAAAAACGTATTTTAGATAATTTAAATACCTTTGAATTTAAATTTCAGTTTTATTTTAATGATAATGTCCTAATACTACTAATCTGATTTAAAAGAAAAATGAATTTCCATATATAAAGATTTTAGGCATTTTTAAAACATTAGTATGTTTTCTTTTCATTCTTTAATTTTTATTTAAAACTTAATAAAAAATAACGTTTATTTATGCACGGTAGACTGTGGGGTCAAAAATTAAAAATCTATAATCCCACCCAACTTAAAAAGCACACAAAATAAAAATGAAATACGAAACACCAGCAGTACAATAATCAAGACATTTGTTTAAAAATAAATTATCTTTAACCTTATAACCAATAGTTTAAGAATATATATTTTTTTATTGAAACTGTGAATGAATATTTTTTTATACATTTAGAAATAGTTTGTTTTTTTTTTTTTGTTGAACATCCATACTAAAAACTAACAGTTGCTAAAATGAAAGGAAAAATTAAAATTTCATTGAAAGAATGTTCACACTCGAAAATGGCGTTTAAACATTTTCGATTCTTCAATTATGTTTTTTATATTATGATAATAAAAAACACTTAGTCCTACGAACAGCAAGGGGATGAATTTCAAAAATATGTTTTTAAAATAAGTGTTTTAAAATTATGCAAGCTAGCACCAACTCGCAGAAAAATTTAATTTTTGAGTTTTATTGAATTATGTTTAGTTTAAGATTTGGGACAAATTTTCCATGTGTTACAATTTTACACTAGATTTGATATTGCATGAATTTTCTACTGAAATAAGATTCATGGATTTTTCTTTAAGAGGTATTTCTGCCGTATTCTGAATATTCAATAATGTTATTGTTAAGAAGACACTTTTGAACTCTATCGGGACTGGAAAGTGAGGTCAGGGTAGCTCCTATCTAAATCTGGCAACAGTACTCCATTTTCGGCCTGATCTGGCTCTTAAAGGTAGAGGATGAGGGG